GATTGAACCCAGAATCTTGGGTTCTGCAGTGGGAGCTTCCGCTCCACGTGCTCCTCGCTGTTGTTCACTAGCCCACTCGGCCACTGATTCTTTTTTCTTTCTTTATTGCCGGATTTTTTACATTGTCAAATAGGCAGGCATATCGCTCAAAACATAGGAAACAGAGCAAGGCTAAACTAAACCAGTCCGAAGTGACTGGTATCGGGGGATAAAATTGTTTTATAGACAAAAGTGCCTCAATGCGCGGAAGCCACTCAGGCTCGCACTTCCGTGCTCTGTTGACTTCAACTAACAAAGATATACTTTAACGAAAATACTCCCGATCCTCCTATACGCTATGGTCTGGAAAAAATGCGTCATCACATGTGGACAGAAAACTCCCCATTGGTCATGCAGGTATGAATAAATAAGAACAAAACGAGGGGCCAGGTATGAATACATAAAAACAAAGAGGGGGTAACTAGGGTGCCTTAATGTCCCTCTGTTTCGAGTGATGCCACCCTTTGTAGTACCCGATGCCGACAGCTCGCGCTCACGGGTAATATACAAAGAAATCGAGGAAAACAAAATCTCACCATAGCACAGCCAGCGCCACAAACGCGTGCAGGGACACTCTCTTTCACGCGCTTCTGAACAAAAAATAAAAATAAAAGTGTGGAACAAAAGGGCCGAGTGTCTCCACCCTAGGGTGCCTTCATGTGCGCTTTGCTAAGGGTGGAGACATCTCGCCATTTTGTCCCACACATTTATTTTTCTTTTTTGTTCAGAAGCGCGTGAAAGAGCACGCGTTTATGGCGCTCACTGTGCTACGGCGACATTTTGTTTTCGTCAATTTCTTTGTATTTTACCCGTGAGCGCGTGCTGTCGGCATCGGGTACTACAAAGGGTGGAATCACCCTTAACAGAAGGACATTGAGGCACCCTTTCTCCACCCTAAGCAAAGCGCACACGAAGCCACCCGAGGGGCAACCAGCGTTATACTTCGTTTCAGCTTCGGTCCAGACGCAGCCGATGCTACTAGCGCGAGCATGTGGCCCAGAACAGTGCTTGCACTGCACGAGCGCGCGTGCTTGACAGGGATGCTGAAAGCCCGGGAGCTCGCGCTTGTAGCTTTGGCTGCGTCTGGACCGAAGCTGAAACGAAGTATAGACAATGAGGTCCTGATCCCTTGTTATCATCTCTAGGCATTGTCCTCGAGGTCGTCTCAGGAGTCGTCTTTGAGGTCGTCCGAGAGGCCGTCCTAGGCGTCGTCTTTGAGGTCGTCCGAGAGGTCGTCCTAGGCGTCGTCCTCTAGGCGTCGTCCTCGAGGTGATCCTAGAAGTCGTCCTTGAGGTCGTCCTAGCCGTCGTCCTCTAGGTTGTCTGGAAGTCGTACGTGAGGGCGTCCTAGAGGCTGTCCCAGGCGTCATCCTGGAGGTCGTCCTCGAGGTCATCCTAGAAGTCGTCCTTGAGGTCGTCCTAGCCGTCGTCCTCGAGGTTGTCTAGAAGTCGTACGTGAGGGCGTCCTAGAGGCTGTCCCAGGCGTCATCCTGGAAGTCGTCCTCGAGGTCATCCTAGAAGTCGTCCTAGCCGTCGTCCTCGAGGTTGTCTAGAAGTCGTACGTGAGGGCGTCCTAGAGGCTGTCCCAGGCGTCGTCCTGGAGGTCGTCCTAGAGGCTGTCCCAGGCGTCGTCCTGGAGGTCGTCCTCGAGGTCATCCTAGAAGTCGTCCTTGAGGTCGTCCTAGCCGTCGTCCTCGAGGTTGTCTAGAAGTCGTACGTGAGGGCGTCCTAGAGGCTGTCCCAGGCGTCGTCCTGGAGGGCGTCCTAGAGGCTGTCCCAGGCGTCGTCCTGGAGGTCGTCCTTGAGGTCGTCCTTGAGGTCGCCCTAGACGTCGTACTCTAGGCGTCGTCCTCGAGGTCGTCCTTGAAGTTGTCCTTGAGGTCGTCCTTGACGTCGACGTACTTTTACTTGCATGGAATGTGATAAAAGGTACATTTTCTCTTTACATTTTGCTGTGGCAATCGTTTTGTAATATTAACACATTACTTGTTGAATTTTAGTTAGAATAGCAGACGATCACAACCGAATGCAAAAATGAATCAGGCGTCGACATCGCAAGCCATACCTCTAACCCAAACACCTAAAACGACTTTGGATCAACAAATGGAATTAATTAGAGCAGTTGAAAAACGGAAACAACAAATTCTAGAGAAATTAAGCGGCACAGTTACCTGGCGATCGAAGAGACGGGCATGGGAAGATATTGTCAACTTTCCGCGGAGTGTACGGCAGATGCAGGAGGTGTGGCAGAAGTTGGTAACGAAAGCCAGAGACATGTATGCGCTCTTCCGAGGTCATGAACAACGAACTGGTGAGTCAGAACTACCTGCCCAATGATTTTATAGGGCTCATAGGGCTTTGTCTACATTCTTAGTGGGGGTGCAGCCAAATGCAAGAAGAAAAAAGAGAGAAAGATAGTTTTGGGCGCGATTTGCACCCGGGACTTTCGCGCCGCGAAGTCAAGTGCCGGCGCTCTAACCTCTCGGCCACAGCAAAAGGCGCGAGCCGCCGGCGCTGGCGGAAGAATATAAATATACTGCCGCCGCTTTTATCTCGCGTTTTTTTTAAATTTATTTTGGCCTATACTTACCCTCCCTGGCCGTAACTTTACCTGCCGCTTCTACGGTATAAAGGGGCGGCCAATTGGACTCCAGTTGAACGTCTCTGCAGCCAGTTTCTGCGAGTGAAGTTAGACTTTTGTGCTTGAAGCGATACGGATTTGTCCGCCATTAGGGCAGGGACGCTAGGTACTTCCTTGTCCCCATGAAGCTGGTCACATGGGAGGAAAATCCCTCTTGGCCGCAGCCGCGGCCGCGGCCGCGTCCGCAAGATGAGCAAACCGGCCCCGGGGTGTGTACATTACACCCCCTCCCCCCTTGTTTTTCTGAAGGCACCCCTTAATTCGCAACGACTCCTCTAACCTTAATGCCCCCCCCCCCCCTTCCTGCTCCCCCCCCCCCCCCGCTAAAAATATAGGCAAACCCCCTAATTTCAATTCCTGGGGAAACCCCTGCCTCAAGGTCGTCCTAGAAGTCGCCCTTGAGGTTGTTCTAGACTTCGTCCTCTAGGCATCGTCCTAGACGTCGTAAAGGTAACTTCACTGGTCCTCCATCTTTACGTGAAGAGGAAGGGCTCTACGATTTTAAGGTCCGTCTTTCAATGTTCTCACTCCACATAGACGAAATGATGCGCCAGCTCGCCTCTATTGCCGTTAGCGCCTACCGTCGAGGGTACTTCCTTTGCACTAAAGGACACTAGCGAGCTCCTTTGCCGAAACGGACGCTTTAGCTAGGGGATAGAACATTTGCGGTGCCGTGTGGCACGAACTCGTTCTCCTTTTAGGAGATCGTCCTTTCTACTAAAGGAGCTTAAGCGGTACGTCTGACAGTAGTAATATAGATGCCAGCCGAATCTGACTTGTAAAAAGTACACGCTTACCTTTCCCACATTGAACCGAAAGCAACCATCTTCCAAGTTACAAGGACGGGAATCGTTGGCAACGAACATTACTATGTTGCCCCAATCTGGAAATACCTAACGAGTGCCGAATGCTCTTTTATATACTGCGCACTAGCACCACCGTTCGTTAATATAAAGCACACACACAAACTTTCCAACCTCCATTGACGCACGACAAATCGACGAAAATGTCAGGTGTGTAGATTCACGATAATGACGGACGTTTTTCGTTCGTCAATGTCCCGAGTCGATGTTATGCCAGATGCGAAACTTCGATTCTTCACAGTACGGTGTCCAGTGGGCTTCTTCGATCACTGGATTACGACTCGCACTGAATCATTGCGTTGCGAATCACCACGATACATGTTCTTCCAGTCGGACATGCGACTACTGAGAAATCTCAATAGAAGCTCATACGTATAAGGAATTATTATGTTCTTCTAAAGAGCGGGACTTTATCAGCAGGAGCTGGGTAGATCACGCTATCGTGGCGTAACGCTCGTTTGTGTGACTATTCTCAGTCTACTGTAAATGATTACTTTGCTTCGCTCCAGAATGGAGAGCACATTTTAAAAGGTGTTCTTTTTAAACATCCCTTCTAGAACGAAGTTGAATCCTCGTTAGTCGCTGTTTGGCTTCAGCTCATGTAGATAAAAGTGCATTTCAGACATCGGGACATCGGCATAATTTTAGTACAGGCTCTGCGTCGATGCCCCTAGAGTTCTAGAAGAATCAATGCCCCGTTTGCACGAAAAGTACCGTCGTAACCGTACAAAAACTGTTGTCTACGATAAGATAATAATAAGTGGTGAACAAAGTCAATATGTCATTAGGTTAACCAGAGAACCTCTATAGTGCGGATCAAAGGTTCCACTGGGATTCGGCCTGTGAACGGTATGTTCCTTCCTAACTTTTTTTTTTTTTTTTGCACAGTGGGCATTGCTCGTGCGTAGAAATCAGATTCCCATGAAGTGAGGCGTCTGCGCACGCGGGGTGCCGACAGCAGCTACACCGCAGTGCTGTGACTTCAGAGCTTTGAGTTGGTGCATAGAATAGACATCGGCACAAGCTATTAGGGACGTAGATCGCAGTCATCAAATTGCAGGCCCTGCAGGCCTGTGTTCAATTCGCGCTCAAAGTGACGGCACGAGCTCATCCTATAGCAACGCAAAGCTCCGGTGTGCAATCTACGAAAAGTTCATAATCAGAAAAAATTGCTCACACTGACTTCACATCAGCGGCCATTGCGGTGTCCTGCTGCCAAGCGCTCATCTTTTGCAGCATAAACGCTGGACCATCGAATCTGTTTTTCTCGTCAAGAACAAGTAGGGATGACCAACAGCATAATGCGGTTACGTCACAAGCAAGCCACGCATGGGAAGCGATTCCTCACGTGCTTATATTTCCGTCATAATGATTGTAAAATCCAGCACCTGACCGACAGAAACGGGTGAAGTGATCAAGACGGCGTTTAATGGGAGCCGCACAAAATGTCGGGGCCACTCAGACGATGCGCGGGTGATAGGCCATGACGGTGTTGGCGAGGAACATGAGGCTGTTGAGGATGCCCAGCGCCCCGGCGATGGAGCCCTGCACGTAGATGCCCAGACGCGTCTCGATGCTGGCCGGCACGTGCATGAATGTGGCCATGAAGAAGTTCAGTCGGTACACCGTGGAACCCGGAAGCTCCAAGGCGCCTGCGGACGAAACGCGCATTTTATGCCCGTGGTATGCTCAAATAAGGTTATGGCTTCGCGTTCATGCTTGAAGCTCACGAGGCGATGAAATGCTATGGAGGGTAGGAAGCTCGGGCGGGGGTAGGGGGGACAACGGAAACTTTCCCTTGCCGTTTGCACCCCGTCAGTTATCACACTCGTAGTCACATAAAAAAAAAGGAAGCATTGCGCAGTATTCATGCGTCACGCGAAGTAGGCCTCAGAAGATTTGGTTGCCGGAGACAGAAATTATGCTTTTGGCGCTTGAAACATGCACGTTTTGATAAAATAACGGCACGATAATCTAAAACATAGCCACACATATCAGATAAAAGAGTAAACCAGTAACCCTCTTTCAGAAGCTGGACCATTAATGCGAAAGCATTAACTGCCGTATAGAGCACAGCCGGCGTTGTCTGTAACCGCGAAAAAAGGCAGAGTAATTCCTTCCGCGCCGTAACCGCGAAAACACGGCAGAGAAATTACCCCCGCAGAACGGTTCTTAAAATGGCTGTGATGTATAGTTTCAGGGAACGCCACCCCACAGAGAAGCGCTCTCAGCGCCGGTAAGAGGGAGAGAGCGGTGCTCGCGCGGCCGCCCCGGAGGCCCGGAGGCAGGAAAGAGGGGGGGGGGGGGGGGGGGAGGAGGATACTGTAATACGTGTTCTGCGCTCTGCTTTCAGCCATGGTCGCGCCCCACATTCCCGCCGGCGCTGCGGCCACTCTTGCTCCTCTCATCGCCGGGGACTCCAAGGAGTGCTCAGTATTCACTGGATGCCATATTTGAGGGTGATGTTTAGAGCGTGGCATTCAGATGTGCTTTCTTTTCGCGAGTGCTCGTGAAAGAAAAGTAAATATGAAAGTCAGGCCCTCGCGCCAGTGCTTTTGCCTCTGCTGCACGCAACTCATGAGATCCAATATATACGGAGGGGCGCGTGCAACGTCTACTTTACTGCACGGCTTTTGATCGGGCTCCTTACGTGATCCTCGGCAAATAGCGGTGCGGGGGCACGTGGAAAGCAGACGCGCAACTCTGGCTCCCATAGGCAGTTTGTATAGGAACTCGAACGCATGCCGCTATTCGAGGCGAGAAGTTTGGGTATCACCGCCCCGTGAAATGTTTTTACAACCCAGAGTGGGGATACTTCAACTTCCTCTGCTGGGGCACAAACGTGTGATGCCAAGCTTCTATGCACAGTAATAATTAAAATATAACCGCGTGGGTAGCACGTGACTAAAAGTTTAAAGGCTCAAACTGAAACAAGGCGAAAAACACACATGTATACTTCAAGGACAAGCGCTTGTCCTTGTAGGCATGCCTTCTTTTCGTCCTGTTTCACTTCACGCATTTTAACCTTTTAATCGATATGTACCAACTAGCTCCATCCACAGTTTTATTGTTAGCAGGCGTACTACCCAAAAACAAAAACAAATTAGTCGTTAGTTATTTATACAGCAGAGTTCCGTCTGCAAAAAATGTCGACATTGTTCCCCTCTGTATTGATGAGCATTTTAGCAAGTGCAGTACAACCACTAGCCTGAGGTCTCTAACGTGCACCACGCAGTAGTAATACACGACTGCACGCTGGTACGATGCTCTTCCAGATCGAAACGGGCAGGGGTGGGGATTGAACCCAGGATCCCCATGGGTTTTGCAACGCGAGCTTTCGCTCCACGCGCTCCGAGCCATGATGTGCGCCAACCCTCTCGGCCTCCGTTACCCCCTTACTAAGTAGTGAGGAAAACAGCAGCGCCCCTCGCGAGATTCCCACCGCGAGTGGCCGCCAGTGGACACTGAAGACTTGAGTCTTCAATGTTCATTGTATACAATAATCTAGAAGTTGAAGTACAGTGTGCTAGAAATAGGGGTTAGTGTTGGGACTGGCGCGGCTCCGCAATGAGAGCCCGTGAGGCTACGCATATCGACATTTTGCAGTGGCGCTGCGGTCACCTGTACCTGAAAGGGTTTGTATGATAATGCGGCAGTTTTGACAAAATACCTTCGTGTGCTTGAAACACAGTACTCAGTCTGAGCGGTTTGTGGTACCTTGCATTTTTGTGCCGGCATGTTCTTTCTTGGGGACATTCTTGAGGCGCCTACAATTTCGCGTATACACTCCGGATAGGTGTTCAAATTTAATATAGAGATACGGGAGCAGCGCCGGTGGAGCTTCTGCTCCGCGCCAGGCTGCAAAACAGGATACTCGCGTGTGAAAGGTAGCTAAAAAGCACACATTTTTTTATTATTTCAAAGGACAAGAGGAGTATGGGCAAACAAACCTGGGTCTGACGGGCAAGCGCCCCGAAGAAACAAGTGCAGTGTGCGAACTTTATTTTGAACCCCGCTACATTATTTAGGACTATGTTCATATACTTAGCGAAAAAATAAATAAATAAAAAATTAGAGAAAGAAAACACTTCTCCTGAGCGACACGAGGATTTCGTATAGTTAACGCAGCGCATGGGCGCACCGCACGCACTTCAGGTGCAGGCGCCGGTGACGCCATTTGTAAGGATCGACTCGATGCCCTTCACGGGAGCGGCGCCGGTTCCAACGTATACTCCCTACTTCTCGTAAACTGTAGTAGTAAAGCAGTGCAAAGACAAGAACGAAGTAGAAGAAATCACAGGACACAGCGCTGACCAAACAAGATCCGAACTTCTCGAGGTCCGGATCTTGTTTGTCAGCGCTATACTGGGGAGAAGGACGTAGTAGCACCTAAAGTGGCAATAACCTGTCCTGCTGTGGGAATGATAAAGTGAAGCGAACGGAATAAGACAAAAACAAAAACTGAAGGTCGGTTATGGCGGCGCCCATGCACAGCTGCCTGAATTCGTCTGTACTGACAAAGCCTGGCAGATCGCCACGAGACGCGGCCGCCGTAAGCGAGAAGGTAGAGCGCCAGACAACGGATGAGAGGAGAGGCATGTCACGGGCGTCCCGCTGCGGCAAGACGCCGAAACACACTCGTCCCGAGCGATGGAAGGTCCGCTCGTAATCCTCGCGTTCCTCGCGCTACCGCTTCCTTTCTTGTCGGGTTGGAACATGGCCTCCGAGATCATCTTTCGGGTCCTCGCCGCTGCAAAAGCTGTGCGCTGACTACAAGCTCCCCGAGGAATGCTGTGTTCTACCAGATCCTCGTGCTCCAAATCTGCGACAGGGCACTCTATGGCTTCGTCGTCGAACGGCCAGGCTTCGTGAGTATAGAGGAAACTATGACTGGTACCCGCTAAAATAAAATAAAAAAGCAAAAAAAAAAAAAAAAAACGAACGGGTATGCTTGGCAAAAGCTCGCGGCTCATGGTTGCCCTAGACGAGCGTGGCGATGCAGCGCTTGGGAAAAGAGCGCTAGCACATGGTAGATTCAACACGATGTGCCTCACAAGGAGGCCGCCGCTTTTTCCACTATACTCAGTGTTTCTAGTTCACTGTCTTCCGGAGTATACACTGGCAGTCATAGATGCGTGCGCGAGTGCTGAGCGCATCCTGACGGCGAGCGTCCACAGTTCTTTTGCAACGTGCATTTTAAACCATCAAGATTACTGGTCTTAGCAGCCTATTAATGTGTGCTCGTTCTATGCATCAGCAATAAACGGCGCACTCAAACATGGCGTCCAGTGAACACCCCATATAACTGGCGGTTACTGCTAACTACACTTAGGAGTAATTACTGTCTAGGATGCTCACCAGATACCCTTAACCACAATTAATACCCCTGTTACACGAGCATCCTTGACCGTGGTTAACTCAGCTTTAACTGCTGTTACGTGGCACCAGAGTTACCGCACTATACTCTCGGACAGCTATTTCAGAAGAAGTGGAGAGCGCTCGTGCACTGCTTCGATGTGTGCTCAAGATGCTCAAGCGCACGTTCGCCTATAGCTTTGACTGCATAGCCAAAGAATGTTGTCGGCCAGTATTGTGCGCTAACTGTGGCTTAGCGTAACTGCGGTTAAGTGCGTCCGTGTAACAAGGGTATTAGTCTTACCTCAGTCACGCTTAACTGCCGTTAAGGGTGCCCGTGTAAATATAACTCAAGGGTATTGAAGTGTGAGCAGTAATTATATTTGGAAGGCGTCTCCCGTGGAGACACTCTCACCGACGAGCACGCAGACGAGGATGAGTATGGAGTTGAAGAAGAACACGATGGAGATGATGAAAAGCACCAGGGCATCCAGGCGCATGGTGAGGCGGAGCTGCGAGTCCATGTGGCCCTCGCCGAGCAGGAACACGATGCCGGCCCCGGTGACAATCTGGAACATCTTCAGGATCCCGCTGGCCGTGAGCATGTACTCGCAGTAGCAGCCCATCTTCGCAGCTTCTGTGGTCGCTTATGGTTCGACGACTGATCTTCGGGTTCGTCCGGGCAGGCCTAAGACGCTTCTGACACGTCTTCTTCCTCTTCCACTTGGCACCTTCTGCTCGTTGTCACGTCAAGATGTGGGAAATAGTACTAAAAACGTTTGCTTGTCAAAGAGAAAAACGATACCATTGAAAAAGTGTACGTCTAGACAAAATAACTCAAAGCTAACCTAAGATACACCTACATATATTCTACTTTATTACCTAAAAGTTCAAATTTTTGACGATCTGCGAGGAGCCTGACGGTTGTCTTGCTATGCACTCGCGGCTAGCTGTCTGCGTGATTGGTGAGCGCGTGCTGAAGGTGAGCTTCCATAGTTCTTTTGCAATTTGATAGTCCACAGAAAAGCGATTGCATGTTCAGCAGCCTATTAACTGGAGCTTGTACTGATCGTGCGTTCTTAACAGCACTTTTAAATAATGCGTCCAGTGAATCTCTTATAGTTTTACAAGTTTCTGCAACTGGCACGCTTTATCCAGGGAACGTACCGCAGATAGGAGCACGCGGAAGGAACTCTCGCGCTGCAGAACCAAGGGACCCTAGAGCCACTAAATGAGCTGCGGTTAGAGTATCGGCACTCTGTTCCCCGCCATTGTTGTGGGCGCCGCCATTGTGGTGGTTGGGCAGAGCAGACGCAACTGTCGATCGTCATGATTCGAAAGTGCGCCTTTCTCAGCATTAGATTCGGTGGTGAGAAGCTCATAGAATATTGATCTGCACTGTCGCAAGCTGTTTTAACACTTGTGGAGGGCGGAAAAGCGTTTCCTGTGATTTCAGACAAAGCTTCAGATAACTGGCAACCATGATTTTAAGACACAATATGGGCAAGCGTTGTTACTTTGAAGCGCAGCATATTTAGTGGCACTAAAAAACCCTATAGACGCTTTAAAAAAAAAGGGTTTCAGACCGGATTAATTTCCAGTGTTCGTGCGTATGGCACGAGATTTGCACGCTTTTTGAAGCGACAAACATGCGCGTGCTGGCTAAGGAGTTCGCACGTTGGGCTGAGGACTTGTAGATATTGAAACAACGTTACTGGAGCAAGCTGAGTTTCGCAGCTCCCTATTCTCGCCTGCAGAGGCGAGTGGCCCAGGTGGCGGTCACGAGAACTAGCGGCGCTGTAGTCGGATCTTGCTTTCCTGTCTCGCGCGTTGTCTGCTACCACTGCGTTGAGAGCTTCCCTTTCTTTTGCTTTTCTTCCCTTTTTTTTGATGATGAAGATGAAGTGTAATACACCACAGAGATCGGAGTCAGCGCTTTGTGAGGGTTCTTTCTTTGAGTGTTTGAAATTTATTTTTGTGTGCGTCTGTTTCCTTGCGCTGTGAAGTGTTAGTACGAATTGACAACTCGCCCAAGCTCAAGTATTGCTATTCAAACTTGGCGGGCTAGACAATCCGGAAGCAAGACTCGACTGCAGCGCTGCTAGTTCACGTGACCGCCACTGAGCCCACGTCGCAGGCGATGCTGTGAAACTGAGCTTCCTCCAGCAACGTTGATTGGAAAGGGGGGATCAGTGACCGAGTGAACTAGCGCACACCTCTGGCGCACACCCGCTCGGAGCACGGGGAGCGAAAGCTGGCGCAGCAGAACCCAGGGATCCTGGCTTCAATCCCCACCCCTGTCTGTCTCGAACTGGATACAAAGAGTTTTTTTTAGAAAATTGATGTTTTGAAATTTCTAGATTCTTCTAACAGTTTATTTCAAGCGTTTATTCAAAATACGTAGCCTACATTAGACGTGGCATATCAAATTTATTTTTGATAAAAAAAGCCAAGTTTTAGAGTTTCGGTTGTGTTAAATGCATTAAAATATCTTAAATAGGTCACGCTTAAAATTGCCAAATATTGCCAAAAAAATCATGAAATGGGCACAAAATGTTTTTGTCACCTGTCGGAAATTGCATGTTTGACCACTCAATATTTTGATTCTTTTTTTTTTTTTTTTAACATATCAACTACCTTTGCCACATCAAAAAACGTTGCACAGGCAAGTTGATGCCTCGGCAAAAGCCAGATGCAATTGTCCAAGGGTTGCTTGGTCTCTTAAACGATAACAAACCCATATTGACGTGATGCGAGAATATCAAACATATTTTGGTGCGACGTCATAGTTTCGAGCAGGGTGTCGAACCGGAACCGAACCAAATGAAAAACCGGAACCGAACTGTTATTTTTAGCCGAACCGGATCTGAACCGGTACTGAACCGGAAAAAAAATATAACGGTAACCGGTTCAAAACGGTTTACAATATTTTTTTATATTTCTTGTTGGTATTACAAAATGAATATTTGGGAATAAAATTTCTATGTATTGATCAAATCGTCATATGAGAATTGCTATGTATGATAAATTGTCAGTTTTCGTGGCGCTTTTGTATTCGAACTATGATTAATCATGTGTCACGTGGTCACGTGACGCCAAGGTTTCAAGACATGCTGTCAAATAATGCCAAGTCACGTGACTCAATGCGTCAAGTCGATTTAAATTGAGAACGTCAATAGGTTTATTAACGTAATCGACACCGTGACGTAGCGTGACGTCACGACTTCGCACTGAGAGCCACGTGACGTCGTTACGTAGGCGAATTTGATGACCCCGACTCGCGTGCTCGGGTATACATGACAATCAGCATCCACAAACTTTCGAGTAATGGCTCGTGTTCAATTAAATGTAATAATAGCCCAACTCCTACATTATCTGAAGCTCAGCCCATGCTTTTTCAACCCTAGCACATGACTATGATGAACGATGACGGTATAGAAGTTTCGCCAGGTCACGTGGCCGCTTGTTCTAATAGCGAGTTGAGGAGGGTAAAGCTGTTTTTTCTTTCATTTTGTCTGCGCCTGCTATTGCGCGGAGGGGAGAACTAATGGATATTTTTGAAATCTATCAAAGTCAGGGATTACTCCTTAGCGGTATTTTCTGAAGGTACAACAAGGTGCACCGTTCATCACGACGCTCCATGAAGAATAATCATCTGTGGCTTTTAAAGACATGGCTTGCACTGACCGTGAAGCTACTGCGCCATGAGTTTTGCACCACTGGGTTTGATTTTCTCAGCAAGAACAAATCAGAACGGCCAACAGCATATAGTGGGACGATATAAGGTCAAACCATGCTAAATAGTTCACCTTTCTAGTGGAATGCGATGTTCACAACCCCAGCAATAAATACTCAAGTTGCAAAGTTGTACAGTACATATAGCACTCTCGCTATGATATACGGCAGCCTAATGAAATGTTAAAGCGCATGAGTGATAAAGCGCAGAGTTATAAATTGAGAGCCCAAAACAAGTGCACGTAAAACCGATCATAACTTTAGTCTCCCGAGGCAGTATTCCGCGACGTTTCAAGCTCACGCAGGCTAATGCCCAAATGTGATTTATTTTAAAACTGTAAGAATCTTCGTTTGTCCTTCGCGCTATTTCTGTATATTTGGGAATAGCATTGGGCATGCATCTCTGTGCATTTCTTTTTGCAGTAAAGCGTTGTGTATGGGACCTTTTAGAAGAATATCATTTATCATTTCTTTCTTTCTGCCCATTTCGTGTATTTGCCTTTTGATCTATCATGTCAGTGCAAAGTCCGCTTTGGGTGACTACACGTCCCGTTTCGGCCGGGACAGTCCCGTTTTTAAGGTCCACTTCTGCCGTCCCGTCTTTTTATCCCAATATAGAATCATGTCCCGTTTTCGCAGGAGTACATATTTTCGAAATTGACACAAGTAGAAGCAAACCGAAACTGTGCCCATTCGTTACAAGTATATTTTACAAAAAATAAGCGTAGGTACTTTAAACTTTTTACCCAGAGAGTAAAATGTAGAACTGTTCTTGCCCACAAACACCTTTACTCTCGCGAAGACGCGTGTGTAGAAATATATATAATTTTTAGTTACTGGATATAGCACGGATGTAGAATCATGCAGGTATAGCACTCATGCAGAATGCCATTAAATTTGTTTATCCCCATCTCAAACTTTAATAGCCCCCCCCCCCTTCCCTCCCCTCCCCTCCCCCCCCCCCCCCCCCCCCCCCCTTTTCCGCTAGGATATCCCGTTTTCTAGCTTGAGGAATATGGTCACCCTAGTTTTGGTATACACTGTAACCCAGTGTTTCTCGCTGCCAAAAAGCGAAAAAGAACGCGTTTCCGCAGACTCTAGAGCTGGCGTGTTTTCCGGCATCGTCCTCCCGTGTCGGCCTCAAGGGTTGTGAACTTCATAGAGTCAAATGTACTGATGATAATAAAATATGATTCATAACTGACTGAAGATTTCAAAATATAAATAAAGGGCCAATCACATTAAAGCTTTACATCCTAAGTAAATGCACCTCCGAATCCTATCTGAAAGATGCTCTGCAAATTTTTTTTCCCGGCGTCTTTATCCTCGATAGGCGCGTGTACGTGTAGAGTTGATTTTGGAGAGCCTTAAACAAATTTCTGATTTTGAAGCTCATTTAAATAACTGTGTTCTTGACAGATACACCAATTCTCAAATATATAGAAGTTTGTTATTACCTCTTTTATATAATGAAGAGACATTTTATGTATCTCTGGGCTGGACCAAACAAGTACTAAGGGGCGCGTAGCGGAACTATGACGATTACGCACGCAAAACGTCAGATGGTGACAAATTAAGTAGCTGCCATGTCGAGTAGAACATAGCATACTGATTTGTTATATCTAATAAAAAATCATAAATTAGCAAGAGGGATTCTTATTTGCAAATCGGGTTAACCAACATCTCGTCTAAAACAAGCCTCAACAGCCAGGCTATGCAAGTTTATCCTGCTATATGAAAATGTTCACTTGGATAAGCGCTATTTTAGGCCAGATTTGACCCAAATACGAAGGTGCTTATTGATTAAAGTAAACAATTTCGATCATTCCTTTCTGCATGATTCTTCGCCTGCATCAGAGTGCTGAGTGGAAACAATGTTGGTTAGGAAAAC